TCATTCATTTCATTCATTCAACAAATCCATACAACCGTTGGGCTCCTTATCAAGCGCTGGCTGGTTTTAGGAGCAGGAGTATGGCAGTGGGTGCAGCACTGGTAACCATAGCCAGTTCTCGGCCCTGGCAGAAGGGCCGGACCCCCAGCCTTAGGCCCAACTCCTCTGAGGACTTGTATGATGGCGTCCCTCCTCTGAGCCTCTCCGCCCACCAGAACAGGCCTCTCACTCCTGTTTCCTTCATGCCCCATCTGGCCAGGGCACAGGGTCTTAAAACTTCTGTGATGGGAGCTGGAGGGCCTCTCTGTGCTGCTGCACACACGTCCAAGTTCCCGATTTGTAGACTCCCAGGTCTGAACCCCTGCTTACCCTCTGCTCTGGTGCAGAGATCCTCACCAGGGCAGCCCTTGCCTGCTACTCCGTCTGGCCGCCGAGCAGTGGGTCACACTGGGCCGTACTCCGGGAGCTCCGGGGGTGCCATGCATCAGCCCCTTCCTTGCTGGGATCTTGATTTCCTGTTCATTCCAAGGCAGTGGGAGGCTTTGAGCACAGGCCAGTGGAGGGATTGGGGCAATGAGCTGCAGGGGGGCAGGAACCTGGGCTGGGGCCGGGAGATAGGCCCTGAGGTCCAGTCCAGCCAGAGCTGAGGGCCGGTCACGTGACCTTCAGAGAGTGTGGGAGCTGGATGGGTTTTTCTTGAGTGGCCCTGGTATGTGCTGGGGCCACATTCTGTCCCATGTGCAGGTGGAGAGACCCAGGCTCTGAGAGATGGAGGCAGGTGCTCAGAGAGGCTGAGTCTGTGTTCATTCTCACATCCCTCCTCCTCCCTCCTTGTGAACTATGGCCCGGGCTAAGGGAATGGAGGGCACAAAGCCATCTACTCCCTGTGTGACCCTGGGTCTCAGTTTCCCTAACTGTACCCTCAGAGTAGACGGGGTGAACTCTGGCCCCTTCCAGCCTTCACTTTTGGAGGTGCTCTGAGTAAAGGGGTCACATAGACACGACCCCACCTTCCTAGCTGTGTGATCTGGGGTAATGGTCTTGGCCTGCAGCTTCTTCATGAGTAACATGGAGATAATAATGGGGCCTAGAGGTGACCGTGAGTTTCGTTTAAGTGAGCTTTGCCTGTGACGCCCCTAGGAAGGCTGCCTGGCAGGGGTGTGTGCTTGGTTCGTGTTAACTGCTCTGTTTGCCTTCTCACCCTCCTCCTCCTCCATTGTCGTCTGCCTGCCAGCTGCAGATGCCGCCGTGCGTGGCTGTGGACAGAGAGCCCTCGGAGGAGCTGGCCTTGGAGACTGCTGTCTGAGGGTGTCTGCAGGGTGGGAAGGGAGAGGCTGCGGGGGGCGAGAGCAGGTCCCCGTGGTGTGGCTGGGGCACAGCGGACGCATGCTGGGGTGGGGTCCTGAGCACTTTCTGGAGGTGGAAAAGATGGAGGGCAGTCTGTCCCTGTCCCCCCACATCATGGCTGGCTCTTTGGGTGAAAGCCATGTGGGATGAGGTCCCATGGCCATGCAGCCTGGGATGTGGGAAGTTGGAAGTTTCATGAGCCAGTGGGTCGGGGCGGGCAGGGGTGGCTCTGAGTGATTCTGGCCACCTCGGCCCTGGCTGGAGTTATCTCCATGCTCTGGGCCTTCATTTTCCCACCTGTAAAACGGGGCAGGGGATTCCCCGTACCCTCACAGCCGACAGCGTGAGCGCCTTTGCTCAGCAGGGGCCGGGTGGGAGAGCCGCAAAGGACACGATGTGGACCCAGCCCTGGCCTGCAGTGGGTGTGTCCCCTTCTCCGTGGCAGTGGCTGCTCCCTGGCCTCCGTACTGCCCATCTTCGCTTATGTGGGCGCCTCTGCCCCAAACACCCGTCCTTACTGAAACCGCATTCCCGCGGGCAGACCCAGGGCGGGGGAGGGGGCCGTCCCTGGGATAGGTGTTGAAATCGAAGCGGCCACAGCTTGGTTGACCAGTTTTCGGTTGAGCTGCCTGCTCCCTCCGGGGCTGGGCTGCAGCGAGCTTGGGGCGTCTGGGGTCCTGAAGCGGTCTGTCGCTGCTGTCCTTCTGCCGCAGTCAGCCGGAGCAGCTGAAGGGCACCGCTGTTCTGCACCGTCAACGCCGGTGCAGGCAGAGCGGGCTTTCTCCGCCGCAGCCAGGAGGCACGGCAGTGTGGGCCGCGGACTGGGCCCGCCAGCCAGCTGCCGCGGGCACGCGGGGCTCTGTCCCAGGTCTTTTGGGAGCAGGCCTGCCGGCTGCCCACCCAGCCCGGCTTTGGAAATACAAAGGCCCGTGAAATCACTGGTGCAAAGCTCATCTGTCGGGGGGCAGCTTAGAAACACCAGTGAGATGTGGGGCGTGTGTCAGGGGCAGCTCATCAGGAATGCGGCATGTCTGTCCCACCCCGGGCCTCCCGAACCCGACCCAACCCCCAGGGGATTGCTGTGCCCAGACAGCCCGAGACTCACTGCTGCTTGAGAGCACGGGCAGCGAGCGCGTGCGTCCTGTCCCCTGCTCTCTAGCTGTGTGACCCGAGGCTAGTTGCCTCGTGTCTCTGAACCTCAGCTCTGACACCCGCAGGATGGAGTTGGGGAAAATTCTCTACCCGAGTGGGTTAATAATACTTCTCTTGAGAACTGATGTGTGTGAGGCACTGAGCTAGGGGCGTGGGCCGCGGGGCGCAGACCGGCCTGGCCCATCTGGGGTGGGTGCTCCTGCTGCTGTCTGGAGATCCCAAGGCCTGGTTCATGTTTTCTCTCGGGGTTGACTCGGGCCAAGTAGCTTTCCTTCTCTGGGCCTCATGTTCCCTGTCTGTACCAAGGGTCTGTGGAGCCCGAGGCACCTCATTAGAAGCCTGCTTGAAGGAAAAGTGAGAGGGGTCCGGCTGCATCTCCAGGAGCCTGTCTGGGAAGCAGGTGTGCAGGGGTGAGGGGCCTTTGCGGAAGGCAGGTCGCAGCCCTTCCCTGCACCTGCTCATCTCGGTGGCTTAGAGCTGAGTCCCCTGCCCCCCTCAGAGCAGCAGGGCCCGGAGAGATGTTTCAGCTCGGACCCGTGTCCTCGGCCTTGGCCTCCCTTGACAGAAGGCCCGGGAGCCCCGTGCTGCCAGACAGGTGGAGGGCGGCCTGTGAACCTCTCCCCACCTGGGACCCCTCTCTCCCGTGGGCCTGGGACGTACCTGGTGACCTCGGGAAAATTGCCTGTACGCTCTGGATCTCAGTTTCCCTGTTTGTACAGTGGGGGTGCTCCATGAGATGGTCTCACCTGGGTTCTACCCTCACATTCTCTCACTGCCCCTCCTCAGCTTCCTCTGTGTCCTTCATCCCTGGCAGGTGCCCTGGCCCCGTGCCTGCCAGGTGTTGGACCCTGGAGCCCATGGCAGGTCTAGCCCTGGCTGCCAATGCCGGGGGAGCTGGTAGAGAGGGAATGGGAAGAAGGGGAGCGTGTGGGGGAGAGGAGGAATTTTCCTCTGTGTGTGCAAACAGTATCCATTTTCTCTTGTTTCTAAAAGCCAGTGACGTAACGCACCCTTCATCCCTTCCTCCCTTCTGGCCTATTTTTAGCCGGCCCCGACAGCATCCTAAAAGGCTTCCAGACTTGCCTGCTTGGAGGCCATGTAGGGAGGTGGCCAGAGGGTGAGGAGAGCGTGGAGCTCATCTGTCTGTCCCAGGATGCGGGGAGGGAAGGAACCTGTCCCAGACTCCCTCTGGGGAAGGAAGGGAGCTGGGTGGGGAGCTCGGGGCGGGGTGGGGCTCTGATGGATCCTGGGTCTCTGGGGAGCTTGGCAGGGTTGCCTGTGCTTCGTCTGGAGCCTCTAGCCTGGGTTTGAGTCCTGACTCCACCTGTCCTCACCCTGACCTTGGGCCCCTGACCCGTGCCTGGCTTTCTGCATCTGTGACATGGGCTAGCCGTACAGCTGTGATGGAGGGTTGTCAGGAAGATTGGGAATGATATCATGTGGAATGGTTCCTGGTACAAAGTAAGCTCTCAGTTAGGGTGAGCTGGTACTGGGATCCTCATTATGATTTTTTTTTTTAAGCCTTATTTATTTGAGAGAGAGAGAGAGGCAATGGGGGAAAGGGACAGAAGGAGAGAGAGAACCTTAAGCAGACTCCTGGCTGAACACAGCCCTATGTGGGCCTCGATCTCATGACCCTGAGACCATGACCTGAGCTGAAATCAAGACTCGGACACTTAACTGACTGAGCCACCCAACCGCCCCCAGTGATTATGATTATTAACATCCCATTCTACCTCCAGTTCATGTTGGGGGTCCCCCTGTGAGCCCCTGTGTGCCTCCTACCCTTTATTCTTTCCTGTCCGGCTTTAACCAGCGTGTGCTGGAATGAGACAATATACAGAAAGCCCTGGAATGGGGCCTGGTAGAGGCGCTGACTAAGTGTGAGCTATATTTATTGTTTTTGTTTTAATGTAATAAAACAGACCCAGGTTTGGATTCCAGCCGCATGCGCTAGCCAGCTGAGTGTCTTTGGGTAAGACATGTAACCTCTCTGAGCCTCCGTTTCCTTCTCTGTGAGACAGGGATATTTAGCTGGGTAGGGGATTTCTTTGCTGGTGAGGATGGCTGCCGGACAGAAAGACTTCTGCGGACCGTGATGATCATTGGCACAATAGAAGCTTCTTTGTTGCGGCGCTGGCTACAGCCCGGCTCCTGAGCGCCCACTGCCATACGGGATCCTTTAGCAATGGCAGGAGCAATGGCATTTGCAGGGCACTTTATAGTTTGTGTGAAGGGGAGACGGTTTCCCCGGGGTGCGGTGCTCATGCTGGGAACCTGGCGGTTGTCACCCCTACCTGAAATTATGGTTATGTGTTGACCTGGCTGTCCCCTTCCTGTTGACCGGGAGCTCCCGGAGGGCAGGCAGGGAGGGATTCATGGCAGCACCTTGCTTGCCCAGCCTGGAGACAGGCCCGTGGTGGCTGCTGGCATGGTGTCTGAAGGCTGGACCGGCACGGGGAGGCCACCGTCTGACCACCTGTCCTTCGTGGCTCTTGCAGGTGGGAGGAGGAGCTCGCCAAACGCATGAACTTGCAGACCATGGTGGACACGCTGCAGGAGGTGAGAGCCCCCAGAGGTCCTGACCACGAGACGCTTGTGGGAACCATGTGGCCCAGGGGCACAGTCTCCAAGGGGCGAAGTCGGAGGCCAGTCCCCGCTGAGCCCCTGCACTGTGCTGCCCCTGCTCTCTCAGTCGCTCCTAAATGGGGCCACAAGGCCTCTTCCTTGTCCCCTGCTTCGGACCTAGGAAGGGCCTGGCATAGTGTTGTAGAAAAGCTCGGGGACGGGAGTAGGGAAGCCTGGGTCTAAGTCCCAGCACTGACCCCTGCTTGCTGGGCGATCGTCCTGTGACCCTTTCCGACCCTCACCTCCCCACCTGAGTTTAGGACTGGACGGTCTCTTGAGCTGCCCGATCCCAGCTTTCAAGAACTGACTGGGGGCCGAATGCCTTATGCCTTGGAGTGGGTGGGCTCCTGGTGCGAATATTCTCTTGTGGCTCTGGCTTGGGAGCTCTGGGTCTGGGCTCTGCTTCACACCCACCTGCTGGGTGCACTGGGCCGCAAACTTTACTTTCTCGGCCTCTGAATAGTGACCCCATGAGGAGGCAAGAAAAGTTCTTTAAAATGTTTCTAACCATTGCTTTCCGATATTTAAGGCACGGATCTTCTAAGAGATAGAATCAAGTAATGTCAATACACAGACAGAAAAGGATGAATGTCTGCCCTCCCTTTGTTTTGTAACAGAAGTCTTTCTGTTTACAAACATGACATGTTCACGGTCAAATATTTGGAAAACTCAGAAATGTAGAGAAAAGAATAAAACTCCCTTCCAGTTCTACCCCCCTCCCCACATACCCAGTTGACAGATTGCCGGGTGACGTGTCTTTTCTATACAAACACACGTGTATTCCACGTGTCTTTGGTTAGGTGGGCACACGTGGCATTGCCATTTTGGGGATGGGAGATGGTCAAATATTGGCAATTTCACGTGGACCCACCTCACATTTTAACCTACTGGAATCACTTGTTATATTAACCGGTTCTTTTTTTCCCTTAATATCTGCTGGGGATTTTTCCATAGGGTAAATATTCCTTGGAGAAGTGTTTCACGCTGAGTGGTACCCTGCCAGTGAACTGGGCTCAGCAGGAAGCCGGGCTGGGGGAAGGTCCTCAGCACCCCTTTGCTGGCATGCGTGTGCCTGGCCTGGTTGGATGGCAGGTGTCCAGCCCTTCCCAGCCCTCAGGGTGCCCGGTCCCCTAAACCACCCTTCCCCATCTCTGTCCTCCCTAGGCGGCGCAGGAGGCTGAAGCCATCCAGGAGGAGATGAACGAGAAGATCGAGCGGCTCAAGGCCGAGCTAGTGGTGTTTAAAGGGCTCATGAGTGACGTAAGTGCCACCAGCCACCGCCCCAGGCGTCATGACACCCCCTCCCCACAACACCCATCATGCAAAATGCTTCATTCACTCCGAGGCTCCAGAGCTCGGCTTCTAGTTAGAGTCCTGGCTGGCTGCGTTTGCCCCGTGAGGATGACGGATGCATCGGAGACCAGCACCCCCCCCCCACTTCCGCTTCCCTTGGTCTGAGTAGAGATGCATTAATCAATCTGCTGCTTAACCCATCCCGCCCTCCCCTGGGCTCCTCTGACGGTCTGTGTGTTTGCTCCAACTGGTCCCGGCTCGCCACGCTGAGGGCAGGTGGTGGCCCTGGGCCTCGATGTCTGGGCACCATGGAGGACCCAGTGGCAGGTTGAAGGAGGCCCCTGGGTCTGGTCTGTGTCAGCCGCGGGGGCTCCCCCGGCCTGCGGTCTGCAGTAGGGCTGCTTTGTAAAGTTGGGGAACCCCACCATCTACATCCTTTTGAAGACTGGAACCTCTCTGAGTGACTGTAGGTGTGGGGGGCTGTTGGCAAAGCCTCCTTCCTGCTGGGGACCCGGGTTTCCGGCCACCTTCAAGCAGCACGTAGGGAGGGCCGCCAGAAAGGAGAAGGAGCCTGATGGCGGGTGACTCAGCCTGGTGTGGCTTCTGGTCCTGGGGGCTGTGGAGCTGGGTGTGGAGCTGGCAGAAGCCTCTGGCGGGGGGGCAGGGGGTTGCTGCAGGGGGAGCCCACCTGGCTTCCCCTCGCCGGGGTCCTAAGGGAGCCCCTCGTCTTTGGTGAGGCCCCGCGGTCAGCCATGGGAGGAATCCTGGGGAGAGCGCGCCACCTTGGCACCTTGGCCCCCCTCTGTGTGGGGGAACAGGCAGGGCACACAGGGTGGGAGAGAAGGGAAGTCTTTCAAGAGTGGGAGGTGTCTTTCTTTTTTCCTTGCTCTGACAAAATAAACACTAGCACTGTGTCTGTTGAGAGAACGCCTTCCAGCGCTTAGGGAGGCCGGCAAACTTGGTCTCACATTGTCTACTCGGAGTCAAAGCCTTTAGCTCCTGTGACCTCTCCACCCCCTCCCCCAACCTGAGCAGCGCTGGCCCCGCCCTCCCTGCCCCGAGAAGCTCCAGGCACCCCCCTCAGACTCGGGGCTGTGCACCCCTCTGCCCAGCAGGAGCCTGGGAGCGACGCCCCTGCCCCATGCCCTCCCCTATGCTCGCTCCAGCCCTCGCTCACATAACCCCCCTGCTGTCCTCCCTGCAGCCCATGACAGACCTGGACACAAAGATCCAAGAAAAGGCCATGAAGGTGGACATGGACATCTGTCGCCGGATCGATATCACGGCCAAGCTGTGCGATGTTGCACAGCAGCGGAACTCGGAAGACGTGTCCAAGATCTTCCAGGTGAATAGGGTCACCCTGCTCACCGGCCGCCACTCCCCCCGCACCTCCGCCACCACCCCCTCCCAGAGTGCCCGGCCTCCACCCTGCATGGCCAGGCCCTCTTCCCCTCCAGTTCCGTCCACTCCCCTGCCCCCAGAGCTAGCGTTGGCCCCCCGCTCTGGCCTCCCAGGATGACACAGAGTCAGGGATGTGGCGACTCAGTAGGCTCGTCAGGCTCAATGCTTCATCCTGTGGCTGAGGAGCCCGTGATGTGATGGGCTCAGGAAGGGACAGGCCCAGCTGGGGCTGGCACTCAGGTCTCCTGACCCACTGGGGCTTGGTCCACAGGCCCGCGGGGCGCTGTCGCCAAGGTCGAGAGCCCTGGTTGGGCTGTGGGAGCACTGGGCAGATGAGTCTCAGAATTTCCAAGAGGATCTGGTGGCCTCTGGTTTGCGTTCCCACCGAAGAGTCCCTCAGGGCACCCCCAGCCCTCAAGGAGCAAGGCTGTGTCCCGAGAGAGGGCGGTGGGGCAGGTAGTCCTGGTGGGCTGTCCTCTGGGGAGGGCCCTGGGGCTAGTCCAGCGGCCCGAAGGGCACGTGTCATTCTCCAAAAGCTGCTTCTTGAATTCTGGGTTGTGGTTTGGCTTTTGCTTGAACCCAGGGCAGTCCAGCGTGTTGTCGCTTTAAGTGTGTGACTTTGGGTGTAGCGTGAGCGATCTGGGCTCGTCCACCTCTGTGCCTTCTTGCCGCCCCTCTGCTGGGAAGCAGGGGTGACCATTCCAGGCTTTGTTCGGTTTGCTTGTGTCTTGTCTGCTTGGAATGGAGGAAGCTTGGGGACCCTCGGGCTGCCTGCCCTTTGCCTTTGCATGTGAGCAGGAGGGCTCTGAAAGCGTGGAGCCCTCCGGGCCTCTGTGAGGGGTTCTCTGTCTCTCTGGCTGGCGCTGAGACATCCCCGGGGACTCTGCGCCCCGATCAGGCCCACTTCTCTCCCCAGATCCTGGGGCTGCTGCTCTGGTGAAGGGCCGAGCTGAGCCAGCCCACCCACCAGGGGAGGGAAGGGTCCAGGCTGTCTGTCCTTCCTCCTGCATGTGTCCCGCCTCACGCTTCCTGCTAACGCCACCTGCTTCTTAGAGGAGCTCCGCATCTTTCCCAACAGTGGCTGCCCCAGCCACGCTCCATCCATCCTTGTGGGATGCCAACTCCCTTCCCAGCCTCCCCTCCCTCCCGGCAGAGCCTCCCACTTACCTCCATCTCTTCCTTCCCCCATCAGGTGGTCCCCAAAAAGAAAGAGCGTAAGGTGGCTTCGGACGATGATATCTCCGAGCAGGACGGGGAGGTGAACCGGTTCTCGGATGACGAGGTCGGCTCCATGAACATCACAGATGAGATGAAACGCATGTTTAACCAGCTGTGAGTATCTCTGCGGCCCTGGCCCCCCGGGGCTCCACTCCACTCCACCAGCTTGCTGGGGGCAGGGGTGCCAACTGGTGGCCTGCTCTGACAGTGCTTTGACTGGCCAGCATGGGGTTCTGAAAGAATTTGGATTTATCCTCAACGGTCATAATTGGGGGATTTCACGTTTTCAGAAGAGGCTTAATGGTAGTGCTGGGTCCTGTCGGCTCAAGCCTTACACTCCCACTGGTTGTCCCTGAGGTGGGATCGCTGAGTCGATCCCCGCACCAGTGCCCACATGCGGACTGAGGCCGGCTCCTGACATGCACTGAGCGTCCTTGGTCTGTCTAGTCTGTATTTTCCATCCAGACCCACTTTGACGCTAATCCACAAGGTCCCCTGACTTGGGGTGGGGGAGAGAAGAGGAAGGTGCACCTGCGGGCATTAGTGGACTTGTCTGAGGGCCTGGACTTGGTGGGTTGGGCTGGGACAGGGTCTCTGGGGCCTACATTTATTTCCTCCCGCCCCTCCAACTGCTCTTGCCTGTTCCCTGTCTACAGCTCCTTGCGGTTGGGCCCCTGGGCCCTGAGAACTCATACTTTCCCCGCCCAAGGACTCCGGGTTTCCAACAGCAGAGCTACGATTGAGCCCTGGGCTCTAAGGAGCCATCACAAAACCCCACAGAACCCCTCCCTAGGAGCTCCTGTCTTTTAGGCAGTTGCCTCTGACCTCATGCTTGGTTCAGAAGCCAGGTCTTGGGTCTCCCTTCGGCTTCCTGCAGAGCCCTGGGGCTGGCTTAGCATGACAGAGTCCAAAGGCCACTCAGCCCAGCCCCTTCCAATTCCAATGGGGAAAGTCAGGTTCAGAGGGGCGTGCCAGGAGTTGGAATAGAGCTGGGCCCCTGACCCATGGTGGAGTCCTCTGTCCCCAGCTAGCTGTCTTTGCGCTCAGAAGAGAATCCCCCTCGGCCCTATCGGCAACCATCCTCCCTGGCCTGGTCTCTTTGCCGCTGAGCCAGGTGACTTAGGGAGGCAGGAGTCTGACCCGGGCTGGGAAGGGTTTGTATGACACTTCCCGGTACTTGTCATTCCCTGGGAACAGAACTGAGGTGACACTGTGTCTTGGGGGCTTGCTGTTAGAGTGTGATAGAGAGACTCCCGGACTCCTGATTCTGTCTTCTGACATCCCTTCCAAATGTCATATTCTCAATTTTTGGTGATGACAGGGCCTTTGGAAGGGAGCCCTTGGTGGGATCCAGGTTTTTTAAACGTGGTACTGGGCATTGGGCATTCCTGAGCCTGAGGCAGGATTGTCCAGCCCACACACCCAGGATGGGTTCATTCGGGTGAATTAAAGGGCTTCACTGAAGAAATGGTCCCCATTTGCAGAAAATTCCCAAGGGATAGTTAGGCTGCCTGGGAATGGGATGGGCTGAAAGGGACAGTCGCAAGAGCTGGGTCTGGGGCCTCCACCAGCTGTGCTACTGCTGTACAAAGGAGGTCTGATGCAGAGTCGGGGTGCCTGGGGTTGACCGGCCTGAATTATGTTCAGTATCCAATTGGATTTATTGGGTTGTGACATGGCCTGGGTTAAAAAATATGTAATAATAATAATAATAATAAATATATATATTATATATATCCTCTGAGTGCCCCTCCACCCCTGAAGGGCTGGCCAAGGTCATGCTGACCCCTGCCCCCCCTCCTCTCAGGGTGCTGGCCCCACCCCCAGCATCTCCGCCGGCTACTGGCCAGGCTGAGACCCAAGCCAGAGGCTGCCCCCGGCCAGTTCCACGGAAGTCTTTGAATAAGTGCCCCGTGTCAGAGCTGTTTTGTTTTGATCAAAATCTGTTGCTTCGGCTTCAGACCAAGGAGAAGGGGAGGAATTCACTACTCTCCCTGCACCATGGCCAGCTCCTCAGCCCCGCCCTCCCCATCTCGCAACCCCTTTCTCTGGCCTGTCTTCCTGTCCTTTCTGGCTCCTCATTCCTCAGCTGGGGTTTCCTTCAGATCCCAGACGCTAGAAAGGAAGTGAAGTCAGCGGTCGAGTATGTGTTGCGGAGACGGTGGACCCCAGGGGCTAATCTGGATGGAATCCAGGCCAGCAGCGCCTTCCTCAGCAGCCCTGGCCCGGCTCTGGTCCCCGGGCTCACGGAGCCACCTACAGGCTCGGGCAGAAACTGCTTTTCGGTGGGGGACCAGCCTCCAGGAGGTGCTCTAGGCAGCTTTTATTTTATTTTATTTTATTTTATTTTATTTTATTTTATTTTATTTTATTATTTTATTTTTTAAAAGATACAGAGAGAGAGAGATCACAAGTAGGCAGAGGCAGGCAGGGGAGGGGGGGAAGCAAGCTCCCCTCTGAGCAGAGCGCCCGGTGTGGGGTTTGATCCCAGGACCCTGAGATCATGACTCAAGCCTAAGGCAGAGGCTTAACCCACTGAGTCACCCAGGCGCCCCTCTAGGCAGCTTTTAACCAGAAATTCTTCTTGGGCCCTGCCCCGTGGCCCCCAAGCCTGATCCTTCATGGGAAGGAAGGGAGCAGTGGCCTGGAGCATTGGGGTGGGGGGACATCGGCAGAGAGCCCTGGGACCCCTGTTCTCCTCTGTGGCTGATTCGATCGGTCAAACGATTTAAGTAAGCCCTGCAGACATCAGCCATCCCATCCAATCAAGTTTTCCCTTCAGCTGGGGGAACAAGGGCAGAAAACCCTCCATTCCAGGCAAGCCCGTATGGTCCGTTACCCTGCTTCCTGTTCCAGTGAATCGGGAAGCCCCGAAGTTACTCAGGCTTTGAATCCGGGCCCGGTTTCCATCATGTATTGGTCCAGAAGTCCACCTAATCCCTGCACCCTTCAGTTTCCTCATCTGTAAAATGGGTCCAAGAATCATGCTTGTCTCATAGGCATGTTGGGAGGAGGGAACAAAGTGCAGTGTAACATATGCTTGGTGGCCGGTCCCTCACCCAGCACATAATGGGTGCTTGGTGTGTGCTACTCAGGGGAGAAAAGGCTGTAGGAGATGTCTGGTTTTCCACCCCAGTTTCTGTGACAGGCTAGCAGTGTGACATTGGACGAGTGGGTTATTCTTCTGAGCTGCAATTTCCTCATCTGTAAAATGGGCCTATTATCAACCTGAGTTGTGGAGAAGACTGTAGAAATCGCCTCTTAGAAAGTAGGGGCTCCAGAAATGAGCTGTTATGCGAATGAAAACTGTCACCAGATTGGATTTGGGGGGAAAATATCTTTAGTCTTCGCTGATTAAAGACTGGCATCTTTACAAAGAGACATTTTAAATGGTATAAGTAATATAGCAATGCTTTTTTGTGTTTTAAAAGAGCTCACCAGCGCCCCCCCTCCCACCCTCAACCCCTGCTGGATAGGGCACGTGTCCCCTTTGGCTGGCACCCCTATCTGTGTGGGACGGCCCCCCGGCACGAGCGTACCCATCGGGGTGGCGCCCTTTCTTCCCCCGTCCTGGCCTCTGCAGCCAGGCTCCTGGTCAGCCATGCCCTCTGCTGTGATCCCACAGGCGGGAGACCTTTGACTTTGACGATGACTGTGATAGCCTGACGTGGGAGGAGAATGAAGACACACTGCTGCTCTGGGAAGACTTCACCAACTGCAACCCAAGCATCGACCTGCAAGGCGAGGTGAGCCCCCGGCCCGGCTGCTCAGACGCCGGCCAGCCCGCCCCGTTCCCCACTCGTTCCCGCAGCCTGCGCCACCTGACTCATTGGTCCCCTTTGTTCTGCGTCCCCAGCAAGAGGAAAATTTGGGCAACTTGATCCACGAGACAGAATCCTTCTTCAAGACGAGAGACAAGGAGTACCAGGAAACGATTGGCCAGATCGAGGTGAGGGCTCGGGCTCTCAGCCCCTGGTGAGGCTCCTGGGATGTGAGGTCTTGACTACAGTCGAGGGGGACAGGGGGCGGGGCTGGTGGGGTCGTGGGCACAAGTTCACAAGTTGGAGGCCTGCGTTTCCCTGTGGCTCCTACTCCTCCTAGGGCCTCAGTTTTCCCGGGTATAAGATAGATCCCATGGGGGTGGTGATCCGTGTCTGTCCCAGAGAGTTTTTTATGCTATGCAACAGAGAGGGTGATCCCAAACAATGAGAGAAGACGTTTGAGTGACATTGAGGGACTCTAGGCCCTCAGGAAGGCTCGCTAGTACTCACAGGCCCCTGTACGTGCCTAGGGGCGGTTGGGCGTCTCCGGCCTGCCCAGTGGGTACTGTACCCTGTTACACAGAGCAGCAGAAGAGAGGAGACTGGCCGAGACCCTGGCTGGCCCAGGGTCTCCTGCCGGGAAGCACCCTGTAGGCCAGCTATCTGCACCGTAGAGCCCGTGCTTGGCCACATCTTTCAGTGAGAGTGAGTGCTGGAGAGGGAGAAGCCCCTTCCCTGGGGGCTCTGTCATTGGTAGAGGAGAAGGGTCAGAAACATAACGGAGACCTGAGAACTGTCCTAAGCAAGTCTGTATAAAGCGGGGCAGGAGGCTGGGCGGGGTGGAGTAGGGGGACCCCATGCAGGCTGCCCCTCGAGTCACTAGGGAGCTGTTCCCTGTTCCCTGCAAGCAGTTCTGAGGCTGGGGTCCAGCCTGCGGAGAGTGCAGGGCGTGGTGTCCCGGGGTGGCCTCGGAGCTGTCACCACCGAGAATGCGCGGAGGAAGTGGCTGAGGGTTCCTGAGTGCCGGGGACTTGGCCTCACCTTTCTGCTGCTTTGTGGCCTTTCAGCTGGAGCTGGCCACGGCCAAGAGCGACATGAACCGGCACTTGCACGAGTACATGGAGATGTGCAGCATGAAGCGCGGGCTGGACGTGCAGATGGAGACCTGCCGCCGGCTCATCAAGGGCTCTGCAGACAGGTGCCTGGCCCCTCCTCCCTGCGGGTGCAGCGGCGGCGTCCTTGGTGGGGCTTGTGGGGCTGCGTCTTATCGCCTGGTCCATTTTGTCTGCCCAGCCCATCCGTCCATCCATTCACGCTTCCAGTATTAGCCATCTGCTGTGTGAGGGAGGACTTGGGCGTCTGATCCCACACACCTCCCGCAGCAGCCCTGCCCCCACTGACTCAGCAGCTTGTCATTTCCAAGGCCTGCTCTGTGCCAGGCCGCGGGGACAGTGATGAACAGAACAGCGGCATCCCCCGCCCTCTTGGGGCTCATGCCCCACTTTCTGCCCAGTCGCCGGGTAGAGGAGGGACGCAGGGCCCTCCCCAGCATCACTGCTGATGGGGCTCCTGGTGTCCGTGGGAAGCAATTTCCCTTCCTTTCCTGTCCTCCCACCAAGGGCCACTGGGTCTGTTCCCAGGACACTGACATGCCTCAGGCCCCTTGTGTTTGCCAGGGAATGCCAAAACAAAGACAGAGCTCTTGCCTTCAAGGAACACACAGCCTTTTAGGGGAGACAGATATGCCAGTAATAACATGAGATGGTACATGAGAAATGCTGGGCAGGAAGCACAGATGTGTTCATTGTACTCGTTCTTATTATTATGACTCGTTCAGGTTATAAAAGAGGGAGGGGCAGCTCAGTGGGGGAAGGGGCTGGGCTTAGGATGTCATACCTTTAGCTCATTGTCGTCCCTGGAATCCACTGTCGTCACCTCCGTGTTCAGATGGAGGAACCGGTTAAACAGCTTGCTCCTGGCCCCCTGCTCATCCAGGACAGGGCCAGGATCTGGACCCAGTACTACTAGCCGCTGCCCTGTGTGGCCTCCTGCTGAGCTCTGAGTTAATTAGGGTTTACTGAGCACCTACTGTGTGCCTGGACCTGTGTTAGGTGGTTGGAGAGTAGGACCAGAGCTCGATCCATGGTTCCTGCTCCCAGGGAGCTATCCGCACGCAGAGCACTTAGAGGCCGTGCAGGGGGACCCGAGAGGTCTTGAGGGCCACAATCAAGTCCGTGAGCTTAGAAGATTCTAAGGAGAGCAGAGTGAAGGCGGGGTCTTAGGGCGGAATCATCAATGATTAGATTTTATGCAAGGGGCGGCTCAGTCTTTCCCTGCCCCTTGGATTGCTTCAGGAGTCCCCAGACTGCCCTCTGCATGACCCCTGTTCTCTTATGCCTTCCAGGAATTCACCATCTCCCAGCTCCGTGGCCAGCAGTGACTCAGGAAGTACAGATGAGATCCAGGATGAGTTTGAGCGGGAGGCGGATGTGGAACCCATGGTCAGCTGATGACGGAGGCCCCCTGTGCCTGCTGGTCTTGGTGATGGCGCCTCTGCCCCTCTCTCCATGGGGCCAGGAAGGCTTCTTGGAGTGGGGCGCCAGTCCTCACCACACAGACTCCCTCTGCCCTCCCTTCTCTGGAGGCCCTGAGGGACCGCTGCTTCCTTCCTTCTACCCCACCACCAACCAGTGCCCCGCCTCCATCCACCCACCCAAGGAATGGTGCTGTCAATTTCTATTGTTCTCCACGTTACAAATGCAGACTTCTGTCCGGACGATGCAGTGTTAACTGTGCCTTTTCCCTTAAGCTGAGCCACTTTGAGCTCCAAAGAATTCTTCCTAGCAGGTGTTTTTATACAAAACTCTAAGGTGGGGATGGGGGGGGGCTGGCCTGGTATAATGTGGATTTCTCCCCTCCCACCTGCTTCTCTGATTGGCCCTGAGCTCTGCCCTCCCCTCCTTTGCCCACCCCCGCCCCTCGCCCCAGTGCTGACCTGAGTTGGCCTAGGAGAGGTCCACTTCCCCATCCCTAGGAAGGAGCTGTTTGCCTCTGCAACCTTTCCAGGCCTGGGTGGGGGGGGGGTCTCCCCAGTGTTTTTACTTACTGACAAGAGAGAAAAGATGGGAGGAGGGAGGGCAGACAAAATTTTATTTTCTTTCTGGATTGAGTGGCGCAGCGGAGGGACAAGGCACTGTGTGGGAAAGTGGAGTCTCACTGTGTTTAAACTACTATGCAAAACAAAACAAAACAACAAAAAAAAGCAGCTTGCCTTATATCATTGTGGAAGGTAGGCCATCGCCCAGACTCCTGGTTTTCCCCTGGAGCTGGCAGGGAGGCGGAGGCTAGGGCAATCTCTCTCGCAGCCTCTGAGGGTGAGCACTGACTTGGGAGTAGGGGCTCTGTCAAGGTCTGTAGTGAGGCCGGTGGGGAGGAGGGCTGCAAGGCCACGTCCACCGGACTGCTTGCTTTCTTGGGACCTTTGTGGGGTGGGAGGGGTCTTTTATTGCCCTGATGACTTGATGTTTTTCTCTCCCTTCCCAGCCAATGATAAGGGGCTACAGATCTGTAATTTCTCTGTGAGAAAGCCTGGAGGGGGCGAGGCCTGGTATCCAGCCCTCCGCAGTGGGGCTGGGTTGGCACCGCCTGCTGCCATCTTGCTTGGTTCTCTACCGCCCCTAGTCGCGGGCTGTTCGGCCACTGGCAGGCACTGGAAAGGGAGGGGGAGAGAGGCAACAAGGGCTGCTGGCAGATCGGAGGAGGCAGGAGTGGAGCTGGAGTGTGAGAACCATCCTTTGTTCTGCTCATGGACATATGTAAGCCTGTTTCCATATTTCACTTGATTGACTGACCAGTGGGGAGTTAACCTGAGCCAGTATCTCCCCAATGCTTGGGTCAGAAGGCCCCGTGTGGAGGCCACCCGCCAAATCTCAGTGTGGAGCCAGCCGAGCAGGTTTTGCTTTTTAAAAAAAAAAAAAAAAATTCTTTTTGTACACACTCCTGGGGACGTGATTGCTGATTTTTGTGTTCCTGGTTTTTTTTTTAATTAAAACAAAATTTTTTTTATTGGCCCAGGAGCTCCCCCTGGAGGTCCAAGAAGCAAAATGCGCCCGAGGCCCAGAACTCCCCACCTACCTCTCTCCTGTGGAGGTGGAAGAGGGCCTCTGGCTGTAAATCGGGTGGCAGCCCCCTGTCTTTCTTCCTCAGGGTACCAGCGACTGTAAGGGCCTTCTCTCTCTTCTGTTTCCCCACCTGTTTTGCGGTCTTAAAACCATTGTACATAATATTCATATTATATATATATATATGAGAGAGAGAGCATGTGTGTTAGTGACCGTATGTAATTTTTATTTATCAGAACTTGGTGGCCTTTATTGTGAGTTTTTCTCTCTTTTTTTTTCTTTTTCTTTTTCTTTTTCTTTTGTGGTTGTTGAGGGAACCTGCTGGTCCCCTGTGGCAGTCTGGCCCAGAAGCTTCCGTTCCCAGCCAGACAGCCCCTGGGTAGGTACGCGGAGGGACAGTGGTTTCGGAGGAGAGACAGCCCCTGGCCCTCCTCCTCACTGACCCTTGTTCTAAAGGTTACAGGGTTCAAACATACCTGATTATTATTGTAATTAGTGTTGTTGTTTTAGTTTTAGTTTTATTTTAACCAAAGTCAGGCGTGGACCTCAGCTGCTGGAAAGATTTTCCGTTTCTGGGAGGACACCGCCCCCCCCACCGCATCCCCGGGCCTCCTCTGTCTGGGGCTGAGGGGGGTCATGGAATGACCTGGTTTGGGAAGCAGAGCAGAGGCCAGGCTTGGGTTGCTCCTCAAGGTGGTGGGGAGGGTGACAGAGCTATCTGTTGTGTTAAGACATAAGGCAGGAGTGTAAGTATTCGGGGGTACTAAGGGGACCATGGCTGTCGGTGTCCAGTGGTGTTATTTATGTTCATGTATATAGGACGTTTGCCTCTGGGACTAGGGTGCCAGGGAGTGTGGAAATGGTGACAGCCAGACATGGATGCTGGCTGTGCAGCTTTTTCCTGCTGGTTTTCCAGAGTTGCTCTGCCCTGGGGAGCTAGGATCTGGGGCAGGTGGATGCGGGGTGTTGGGGGTGGCAAGGGTGTGGCTGACCAGCCCGGCTGCCTCTCTCCCCACCAAGTTCTTTTTTGAGTTTGTTGCCAGTGGGCCCTAGCTTGTGCCCCTGCCGTGAGCCCACAGCTTGCCAAGAAAGACCCCAACGCTCGCTGGAGCAGCCCCCGGTCTGCTTGGGACGAACTGCTCCGTCCTTTGTAAAGCTGTAAATACACAAATTTCTATTTCTAAGCCCAGTGTCATATTGACATTGGTATCTTAAGGTTGTTCTCAGATGGGCTCTCCTGTGCTGCCCTCTCTCACTCTCCTATTTTTGGGGGTTTTATAAAAAGAGAGGATTGGGGAGGGGCAGGGAGAGTAGCTTCTTTTTGGCTCCCCGGTTGTGGAAGACACACGCGCACGCACGCACATACACACACACACACTCCTCTGAGACTCCAAACGGGGAAAAAAACCCACAAAACATTGGCAAGTAAACACATTTTGTTTTCTTGTAGCAATATATCTTGAGGTCTCTGAAGGGCCAGTCCATCGTGGACTTAGCTCTGACCTTCAGAGAAGCAAACCACTTGGGCTTGGAAGGGGGGAGAGGGTGTGGGGGAGGGGGTAATATAAGGTGTAACTTAAGCTAAATGTAATCTATTTATAAAGTAAGAGATTCTCATCTATTTTTATGAAAGGAAAGGGTTTTTAAATCTAGGGTAGGCAGTTCTGGTAGCCCAGTGTTCTCCCGTGAACAAGACTCATGTCACTGCTGGTCTGAATTTGATCAGTGCCCCTCCCATCTCCCCGGCCTCCCCACCCTCCACCCCTGCACCTGTGAGCGGCTTTAGCAGAGCCTATGTACGTCCCACCTCACCCCATTTCCCTGTTCCTTAACCCACCCTCCAGCTCCTCAGTCCTTGAAAGTCTCAGGGTGGGGGGGCACCTGTGGGAGTGGGTGGGCAGCGGGGAATTCAGAATGGAGGTGGGTGGGGAGGAGGGGAGAGGGGGCACCGGGTAGGGGACAAGCTCTGCCTCAGAGGATGGCCTCTGTTCGGTGACATGGGTCTGGTGTGCCAAGTTTCCATTGCCAGGTCAGCTGTATTTGGGAGAGGTTGAGAAGCAGCGGACCGTGGGTGACTATGGGACTGTTGGTTCAGGTGGCGCTCGGTTTCCTTGGGGCCTGGACCCTAGTGGGTCCCGGGTGGTCAGGGAACTGGAGCAAGAATGGAAGGGCTGGGAGATGCCCACCACCCAGCCCCAGCTGTGCCTACTCCAAGCCGATGCCTGGGCTGCAGTCCTTGATGTGTTCCTCCAGGGCCTGGGGCAGGAACTGGGGTGCTGGGACTTCCTCAGACCTGGGTTCCACCATCTTGAGACCCCGAGCATCCTCTTGATATGGGGAGTCTGGAGGCAGCTGAGTGGGTATGGGTAAAGGCTGATTCTCTCGGAAAGGGAATTTTCCTTGACTGGAGGATTTCCAGGTTCGGGACTGGACCTGGGCTGTGTGTTAGTCTTGGGCAAATCCCTCACCATTGCCGCTGCCGGGCCCTCAAGAGAAATGAGGCAAGGCATCATCTCCACCCCCAGCAAGACCCCTTCGTGGACGTTTTAGCATCTACCTGATTTTTAGCTCCATCCAGGGAAACTTTATATCCCGCAGTCCCATCCCACCCCACTGTTGCTGTTTGTCTGCCAGTTGGGTCTAGTGTCAAGGGGAAAGGGGGGGTTTATACTCATTGAAAGACTACTGATCCTACCGGAAAACCAACCTGTTTACTGTACTGTTGTAAATATCATGCCCTTTATATCCTGTATATTGGCTTCTTTTAAATAAAGTGAAATGTCTTAGAATTGATGGTGCTTTTTCTTTTTTTTTTAAATTGAGGATAAAATAGTGATGGGCAAAGGGCAAGAGGCCTGAGGGCTGCATAAACACCAAAACAAAGCCATTAGCCAGCTGGTGATAAAATAGGGAAAATTCACATCCCTTGTTATATGGGCACCTCATGGTGAAATCTTTGGAGGGCGATAGAGCAGACTTTATTACCATACACACTTTACGGAAGGGGAAGAGCGAGCCAGAGCGATCGCAGGCTGAGTAACTGGCATCGCCTGGTTTGCATTGAGGTCCTGCTGATCATAACCCACCCCCCTTTGTTTAACCTCCTTTTATGGTGCCCATGAGGGGCCACCTTCTGGGACTCTGGATTTGACACTGTCCAGTGTTCTAGTTTCTTCCTATTAATGGCCAGATTTAGGGAGACCCTGCCTCCTGTGAGCTGCCCTGCTCCCCACTGGGGTTTTCTCCAAGGATTCAGAGGGACAGACACCAATTCCAGTCTATTTCTTTACCATGTTTAAGACTTGCGCTTAGGGGTGCCTGGTTGCCGGGTCCGTTAAGCATCTGCCTTTGGCTTGGGTTACGATCCCAGGGTTCTGGGATCGAACCCCCCCTCCCCCCCGTCGACCCCCCCCCCCCCCATCGGGCTTCCTTCTCTGTGGGGAGCCTGCTTCTCCCTTTTCCTCTGCCTCCCTCTGTGTCTCTCATGAATAAACGAATAAAATCTTAAAAAAAAAAAAAGACTTGCGCTTAACGGAGCTTCCTTTTCTCCCCACTCTTTAAAATCCCCAAACTGTCTTAAAGGGTGTGACTTGGAGAAAGAGGAGTAACATGAAATAATGTGGGCGATACACACCCCCCCCCACTATAGAAACTGAGTCCCAGGGAAATAGGGTATTTTGCTAATGTCCTAAGGAGGAACCACAGTCATCATCAGCACTCTCACTCCTCAGCAGGTTCTCTGTTGCCTTTGCAGAAAATATTAAGAGGTAATTCGGAAGAGAGCTCTAAAAGCTTCAATTAATTTAGGAATGGAATGAATCCTGAAGAGCCAGCCATCAGGAAGGCTTCAGAATCCGGCTTTTTTTTTTTTTTTTTAATTTTTTTTTGAGAGACCTAGAGCTGGCACTAGTGGGTGGGTGGGGTAGGGTGGGGTAGGGTGGGGTTGTGGGGGGAGGGCAGAGGGAAAGAGCCTCAGATGGACTCCCGGCTGAGCGCAGAGCCTGATGTGGGGCTCGATCTCACCACCGATCTCACCACCGTAAGATCAGGACCTGAGCTGAAATCACAAGTAGGTCACTTAACCCACTGAGCCACCCAGGCACTCCCAGAATCCGAATTTTAAATAAAGTGTTCAAGCAAACAACTTCTCCAAGAGAAAACCAAAATTTTGACTCAGGGGTTGGGGGTGGGGAGTGGTGGGATGGAACGCAGGGACAACCAGTTCTGAGTGTTACAGGATTTCTTTTCCTCCAGTGCCCCTGGTTCTTGGTCACGCTGCTTGGAAGAAGAGGTAGACCACACAGAGTGGTGGGCAGCAAAGCAAGGTTTATTGAACGATCGTAAAGTTTATTGGATGATAGGGTACAAAGCTCCCAAAGGGCGGGGAGGGGAACCCGATAGGGTTGCCAATTTGGCATTTAAATCTAGGGGCTTTATGGGCTTGTTGGCCGGCTGTTTTACTCTGATCAGCCCTGACCTGCCTTTCTTCCAACTGTTCTTCATCACGAGGTCAGGGGCTTTGAAGGAAAAGCTAAGCATGGACCGGCTGGGTTTTCTCTCTCACTGATCCTAGTTGGCCAGGAAGCAGGCCGATTTACCTAAGCGCCAGGCCCGGAGGTGCAGGGTGGGTGGGTGCCCACCAGGCAGAGGCTGGAGGCAGGGTCTGTAGGCTCATCCCAGGGGATGCCGCCCCCCCGGGTGGAGGCCCGGGGCTGGCCGCGGTGTGGCCCCGCGGGGTCCAAGAGTCTGATGGCCGCTCCGCCAACGGGAGACCGAACCCTCAGGCCGGGACGCTCACGACACCTGACTCACCGACCCGCCGTTGTTCCGCGGCTCCTTACACTTGTCCCGTTCCGGCTCTCTCATTGGCTCTTTCCGCCCCTCCCGGAGAAGGCTACAGCAGGACCGCCCACCCGATTGGCTCACAGTCTTCGGTGTGTCATTCTGATTGGTCGAGGGGGCTCACGCCCCCTCTCCCCGCCCCCCGGAGGGCGACTGGGCCATACCATAAAAGACGAGGGGGAAACGTGTAAATACCAAAGCTTCCCTTTTGGGCTGCCTTGTCCTAGGTCGCATACTTGCGCCTCCAGTGCCTTCTAATCAGAGTGATCGTATTACCAAGAGGAAACACGGAAGCATTTAGGGTAAGTCTGACGCGGAAAACGGCCCCGTGATCCGCTCCCCCCCGCCCGCCAAGGTCGTGCGCTCCGGGCGGGGCTCCGCCTTCTGGTCGCGCCCGGAGCTCAAGATCTGTGAGCAACCCCGGGGCTCACCGAGTGCGGACAGTTCCGCTGCGAGCTCGAGATGCAGTCGCTCCAGCCTGCGCTCCGCCGTGCCCTGCTGGCCTGCCCCTGGAGGGAACCTGGGTGAGTGCGCCCCGAGTCTGCGGCGGGCGGGAGCGGGGGTGCCTGGGGGCCCCTCCCTGCCAGATCCCCGCGGCGATCGCGAGGGCTCCCCACGCCGGGGGTCGCCTCCTCTAGCCCTCTGCCCCTCACCCAGGCCTTCCTCCCGCTGCGACCCACCTCCCGGTCTCCTCCGCGAGGTGGACCCCTCCTGGCTCCCACGCTCGGAAAGTCGCCTCCTTCGCGCTCGTCTTCCTCCTCACAGGGAACCCACCGACAGAGTGCATCTCGATTTTTTGCACAGCGCTTCTCAGCCCCCCATCCTCGGTCTCACATTCAAGACTCGTCTCTGGGAGTCCCTGAGTCTCCTGTCCCCTTTCTACCGGGACTCCTCTTTCCTCTTCTCCCTTTTCCAAATTAAGTCCTGGGCAGAAAAGGGACCCTTCCTCCCGGTAGGTGGAAGAGTAATACTTAGGGAGTGGTTGTAATGGGCCAGACGCTGGGCGAGGTGCTTGATGCATGCCTCACTGTGATTTCTGAGGGAGAGACACTACACGGGAAGTGTATCGAACAGTGCCTGGCACTTAATACCCAGTTATTATTACACAGATAGTCGTTTATCACTCTCTTTTAAGCTGTGCCGGAGATGTTCCGAATTACAGGTGAAGAAACCAAGGTGTAGTTTTGGGGTAGATCAGCCCTGCAAATGCCCAAGCCGTGGAGTTGGATTCCTGGACCCTTGCCCACTCAGTGACATGCTCTTTCTTTTCTTTTTTTTTTTTCTTTTTTTTTAAGATTTTATTTATTTGACAGAGAGAGAGAGATCCCAAGTAGGCAGAGAGGCAGGCGGAGAGAGAGAGGGAAGCAGGGCCCCCGGTGAGCAGGGAGCCCGATGCGGGCCTCAATCCCAGGACCTTAGATCACGACCTGAGCCAAAGGCAGAGGCTTAACCCACTGAGCCACCCAGGTGCCTCTCAGTGACATGTTCTTAGAGACCCTCTGCGCTAGGTGGAGGGTGGAGGGAGGTAGGCAGAACACAGACCCTGTCCCAGACAGGCTCAGTCTGACAGGCAGGTACTTCTGTGGGCCTCTCTTTCAGGGCTGGGCAGCCCCCGCCCCCAGTTTGAATTTTGTTTGCCTGACCCCTAGGACTGTGACCAACTCTGTCTCCCTGCTGAGCTATGCCTTTTCTGAGTTAATCAGTTTCCCAAGGGATAGTGGGCGGGGGGGGGGGGGCGCACCCTGGGCAAGGGTCAGTTTCAACACTTCTGGGTGTCCTTTGTGGGTGGGGGCTTCATAGGTAAGGCCACAGGAAGAGCACATGGGGGAGGACTTCTCTCCCAAGCCAAGGTTGGGGGCCACACCTTCAGTGCAATCTCTTTTGCAAGCTTCTCCCTGGACTCGGACACCACCCTCCGCCCCCACCCCCACCCCCCGACCATGGGGGAGGAAGACCATAAGTTCATGTATTTACTGAGCACCTACCATGTGCCATGTGCTAAACCCTGGAAGAGAGGGGTACCCAGGGGACTTGCACATGGATGGGGACTTCGGAGAGTTTTCAGTTTAATGGTGCAGGGGAGAGGGCTTAGCCATAAAAACCTATAATACCTGGTAGAAAGCAATCCATATTCTAGGAAAAAAAAAAAAGCTTACGATAGCAGTAACATCTATCAAGCGATCAAGAACCATAGACCTGGCAGTGTGCTGGTAAGCATTGTACTATCCCTATTTTTACAGATGGGAAACTGATCTGCCAGTTAAAACCAATGGAGAGCTAAAATCGCAGTCAGGCTCCCGCTTCCTGCTCTTAATTACAGAGCCTCCCGAGTGGAGCTAAAGCGTTTTTTGCAACCTGATCTGAAGGCTCAGGTTACCTCTTTCGATAGAGCAGCTGGCCCAGAGCCCCAGACAGGGTTTCTCAACCTTGGCACCGTTAACATTTTGAGTTGGGTAACCCTGTGTGTTAGGGGCTGTCCTGGGCCTTGGAGAATGTTCGGCAGCTTTCCTGGCCTCTGCCCACGAGACGCCACGAGCACTCCACAGTTGGGACCGTCCATATAGGAATGTCAGACACTGTCCAACGTCTCCGAGGCCAAAATTGCTCCTAGCAGACAGCCGTTGTGCTAGAAAAACAGGTCTGATGTTGGGCCATTTTTTTGTTTATTCAGCTAATATTTAGGATGCTCTTGGGCCATTTGTGGAGAAACAGTTTTAGAACATGTTTAATAGTATCTCTCCGTGTCCTGTTCATAGAACTAATGCTGAGGAAAATCACCTCTTTTGTGGAACCTGGTGTGGGTGATGATGTTCATAGTGTTTCCCTTTTTGCCTGGAGTGCCAGGAATCTCAACTGATTTTTTAAAAACACCTTTTTTTTTTTTTTTTTTTTTTTTTGCGGGGGAGGGGGTGGCGCCTGGGTGGCTCAGTCATTAAACATCTGCCGTTGTTCAGGTCATGATCCCGGGGTCTTGTTCTTGAGCCCCGTGTGGGGCTCCCTGCTAAGCGGGAAGCCTGCTTTCTCCCTCTCCCGCTCCCCCTGCTTGTGTTCCCTCTCTCCCTGTCTCTCTCTGTCAAATAAAATCTTAAAAAAAAATATCTTTTGCCCCCAAATTTTATTTATTTATTTATTAAAGGGGTGGGGGAGATACAGAGGGAGAGAGAAATTTTTTTTTTTTTTTTTGGTAAGATTTTATTTATTAGCTCGGAGATCATGACCTGAGCCAAAAAGCTTAAGCGACTGAGCCACCCAGGCGTCCCAGGAAGTGAGAACCTTAAGCAGGCTCCACCTTAACGACCCTGAGATCATGACCTAGGCTGAAATCAAGAGTTGGACACTTCACCTAGCCTGAGCTACCCAGGCACCCCTAAAAATACTCTTAATCATGCATTCCCCCCCGCCTTTTTTTTTTTTTTTTTTAAGATTTATTTATTTAGAGAGAGAATGCAGGGTGCACATGCATGATTGGTGGGAAGGGGGTGAGAGAATCCCAAGCAGCTTCTGTGCCCAGTGCAGGGCTCGATCTCACAATGCTGAGATCAAGAGTTTGGTGCTTAACTGACTGAGCCCCCCAGGCACCCCCATGCATTTTCTTTTTATTTAATTAACGTGTGTCCATTGGAAAAAGTGCAGATAAAGCAAAAAAACATGAAAATGACCTAGAATCTCACCACATGGAGGTAACCACTGCCCTCACTTCGATTAATATCCTTTTAACTTTCCACAAATATATACACTTAAAAAAAAAAAAAAAAGCAAACCCAACAGTATAATGGGGGGCTCATCTGCATACACTTTTTTGTAGTTTACTTTTATTTCGTAGACTTGTCTATTTTACTATCTCCGTGGCCTCGTACCTTGTAATGACATGGATTATTTTACTGGGCTTCTTAGCAGCCTGTGATAGTTTTATAGGCATTACTATTCCCCATTTCGTGGATTAAACAACTAAAGCCCTTGAAAGTTAAGGAAAACTCGTCTAAGGCTTTAAGCTAGTAAACACCAGGCCCCCAGTTGACTGCCTCCTGTCTCCCTGGGCCCTGACGTGGTTTTTTTCTCTATTTCGTTGACTTTATCAGGGGGTTATCCTCAGTTATGTCTCTGCACATTCTTATTGGAAAGAACCAAGATACATATTTATATTTATGTATAGATTTAATAACTAAAAAAAGTAGCCCAGGCACATCGTAGGTTTATACCAATTGTGAATTTTTCTGTTACTTTTGTACCAGATGCTGCTGGGTGCCAGGGGTCCCCCCCACCATCAGGGGGTGGGTGGGCTGAAATTGGCTACCGTCCTGTCCCCTGCAAGAATCCTGGGTCACTCCTCGCAGTCCACCTACCTGCTTAGTTTGCAGCATTTCAGAACTCCCCAACACATGTCCCAGCCTGCCTGCCCCTGGAATGGGCACAGGCTGTGCTGGGCAGGGGGCTGGCCCATCCCATCGCTTCCTGGACATAAACTCTGCTCTCAGTCCTCCTAGAAGAGCCCAGGCAGTGCCTCTCTCCTGGAATGTTCTCCCCTGCCCCCTTGGTGAGCCCACACCCAGCGCTTTGTGGCCTTGGTGGTGTGGCTCTCCTTTGGCCCTTCATTGTCCTGTCTGTATAATGGGGAGACCCATCCGCCGCAGAGCAGAAGGGTTAGAGATGGTGTGACGGGGCTCATTATGTAACTAGTGGCACGAAGTGATGCTAATTCTGGCTTCAGAGGTTGACGGAATCCCCATTGGGCTGTGGTTGTCCCTGGTGCTCCCTGAGCACCTGCCTCTGGTACCCGCCCCCCAGCCCCGGCCCAGCACATAGTAGGTGCTGGATGCTTGCTGTTGGAATGGTCCAGAGGACAGCATGGGGTGGATTCTGGCCCCACCTCTTACCAGCTCTGTGGCCCCGGGCAGGCTCTTCAGCCTCCCTCCTGCCTTATTTTCCCAGGCGGTAAAGACAGTGGTAGATGTCTCCTAGGATTGCCTTGAGAGGAGATGAGTTCGTACACACAAACCACTTTGAAGAGTATCTGCTCCTGGACAATGATGCTTTTTTTTTTTCCTTTAATTTTACTCCTTTATTGGACAGAGGGGGGAAGCACAAGCAGGGGGAGCAGAGGGAGAGGGAGAAGCAGGCTCCCTGCTGAGCAGAGAGCCCGACTTGGGGTTCTATCCCAGGACCCTAAAGTCATGACCTGAGCCCACGGCAGTTGCTTAACGGACAGAGCCACGCAGGTGCCCCAACAATGTTGCTCTGAGTATTGTTTTGATCCCTCTCCCCCCCAGTCATGAGCTGTCCCGAGTGATCACCCTGGACCAGGAAGATTCAGACACGAGGGTCCCAGCCAGCACAGGGATGATGGAGGCAGGTGTGGAGCTCGGGTGCCCTCGGTGCCTTCCCGTTGTCCTCACTAATGACGCCGAGGCAGAACCCTTTCTGTTGGGGTAGACCCTGCTCACCACCCCCCCGGGGGGGGGCAGACAGCTGCCCATTTTGGGGGTTTCCTACCCTGCCCCCACCTTTCCTTTCCTGGCACGGAGTAGACAGCGCCCATGAACAGCAAACCACCGCCCTCCTCTCTCGAGAGCTGGGAAATGCTGGGAGGGAGGAGACACAAGCTGGGTGGAGAGGAGGACGAGCCCGTCCCCTTGGCCCTGCTGCTTGGGTCTTTGACAGGCGCCAGGTGCTTCTGCCGTGTGAGAGAGGAGGCCCTGGGTTCAGGTGCTGCTCTGTGGGGCGGGGAGCTGTGCCCTGGAGCCATGCGACAGCATCAGTATCCCGGAAGTCGGTTTTCTCATCTGTAATAGTAATAGTAATAGTAATAGTAATAGTAATAGTAATAGTAATAGTAAT